CTGCCTCGTGCACGGCCTCGCCCAGGAGAGCTGCCTGATGCATGAGCTTCTTTGGTATGCAGCCGACGTTGACACAGGTGCCGCCGACGCCCCACTTGGTGCCCAGGGGAGTTGGCTTCACGAAGTCCAGGCAGGCGACGCGTGCGCCATGCGCCACAGCCTCCTTGGCGCAGGACAGGCCACCAGAGCCGCCTCCAATAACAACCAGATCATAATCGTAGTTTCCTGTAAATACAAAGAGGACAGCAAAGGTCAATTAGCAATCAACTCGACTTGGCAATGGAGCAGGCCGAGCTACCCTTCAGCAGCTCGCTCAGCTTGCTGGGCCTCTGCTGCCTCTGGCGCAGTCGTATATCCATGTAGGCCGAGCGATATATGCTGCGTCCCTCAGCGGGCCGCTCGTCCGCCAGCGAGGCGGGCACAAACTCAAATAGATGCATTTGGCCGGCCACTGCGGCGTCGACTGCGCCTCGCTGTACTCCAACGAGCAGCTGGAGTTGTTTTGATTGTGATTGTGATTATGATTTGTGATTGTGATTGTGATTGTGTTGYGTTGTGTCCTCCCGGTGTTTAACTATGCACGTGTGTGTCTGCCCTCCGCAAATCAAAGTGGAGCAATCATTGTCGGCCCCGCCCTGACCTGAGGTTTGCTTTGGAATCCAATACGCTTGCCATGGCAACGACAACCGACTCCCCGACTCCCCGACACGCCGACTCCACGACCCGACGACGATTCGATTCGTGTTTGTGGTCGGCGGCAAGTCGAGGGGGATTCTAGTTGGATGGGGCGGCCAGAGAGCAGCCAGCCGAAAAGGTGTTGCCTAATTGGCGGTTGCTTGTATCAAAAGTGTGATATCTAATTATATTTCATTTATCGATTCGCTCCGTCTATCGATATAACAATGAACGACGGAGTTGTACATAAATAAATATTAATTTTAGAAATTATAAACAGAGATCGGAAAGATAAAAGCTTTTAGCGTTACTGTGTATCAGAAGTGTGATATTCAATTATATTTCATTTATCGATTAGATCCGTTTATCGATAGAACTAGGAACGACAGAGTAAATGAAGATCTCTTGTGAAATATGTACATATATTGATATTACAGTTTACTACAACTCAAGAGCGTTTCGTAAACAAATTGTATAATATATATATTTGCATATTCCGATATTTGTAAATGGCTAAAAATACAAATCATCCAATTGCTTGGCCTAGGCAAAAGTCCAATTGGAGCGGAACGATTCTGATAAGCGTAAGCAAATCAAATATCGAGACGAGAAATTAATAAAGTGTGGAAAGCTTATCGAAGCGTTATAATGAAATCAACTCCAGAACAACCATTTATGATAGAAATATGTGAAAAAATGATCATTCTTTGTACATACATATGTATACTATATATGCACATGTCTGGCGAATACATACATGCATATCGTATCGTGTCGAGGTTTAGCTATGGCTTATTGATATACAACAATAAAATATGCATAAATGATAGAAAACGACATGCCGAAAGCTAATTAAATTACGTGCTGCTGATAAAGCAGTCAGCTCTTGTAGATACCCCCGTTCCGGCACTCCCCTGACCTGACAACCAAAAATTTCCTTGTTAGCACCAAACAGCAAACACGTCACTAACTAGTTGACATTTACGATGCGAGCCCAATGGGAAGGGTATGCCAAGTCACGATTGCATTCCGATACGATATACAAACTCACGATGACGGTGTGCTAATGAAAGCGATGATAGTGATAGGCATAGTGACGTAATCGTCCGCTCTCTGCGTGCATCAAGAGGATGTGCTGCTTGTGAAATATCTGCTGAAAGCATTCAAATTCTCGAACATTCGAATTAAGTGGATCTTGCAAGATGCCTAGGAGAACGGCAACAACTTGCCATCCAGCTGCAGATATAGTTGTAATTACAGTTACGGTTAGAAAGCTGTTACCGTTTGCCCTCGAGCTGCCCTCTGCTGCCAAAATCTTTCTCAGTCGCGATCGTGACGCTGCAAAAATAGTTGTGTTTTTTGGCTTTATGGTGAGGATCAGAAATAATCGATTGACGGTTCGATAAGCTAATCATATGACGATACGTGCGTAGCGGAGCGAGGGAGCTAAACAATTATTATACAATAAGAAAAAAACCCACACACACAATCCAAATATGTGGCTTGAGAATGTGGTGGTACCAGAAGAACAGATAAAAAGTAGCGGGAATTACCTTTGATCGATAGAAGAGCGAGAGAGAGAGAGAGAGAGAGAGAGAGAGAGAGAGAGAGAGAAAAAGACAGAGAGTTGCAATTACTTCTTTGACCCTGCGGCTTTCGGATGTGTGGGGGGAGGGAAGCGGTTGTTGACTGGCTGGCTTACCTCGTACTGGTTTGACCTTGCGCACGGGCTGTTGGTACATGGCCTGCCGATCGCAGTGCGGATGGTTAAAGGGCGGCACATTTAGCCCGGTGTCGCTGGTCGAGCTCTCGAGCGAGTTGCGGCCGGTCTGCAAAGTTTTGCCCGGATTGCGTCCAGACTGTTGCGAGGTACGTCGAGCGCCCTTGTCCATTATTGTTGTTTGATTTCGTCGTTGTTGTGATTGAAAATTATTGAGTATGTAGTGTGAACTATTTGCAGCACTTGTTTTTGTCGTGCTTGACATTAAAATCGTCGCATGCTGGCGTACCAGCGTTACAGAGAATCTCGAATTCCACAGCGTGAGCGACATGATGAATGTCTATATACAATGTTTATATTACCGCTGAATCACGTTCCCCGGTGGTGCACAGTACACCGCGGTAACCACTTGATTGCTTTGAGTCTGCTAAAGTTATCAAGTTGTTTATTGCGGTACACGATCTTAGCAAAGTTTTCTGTTTTGTTGGCGAAATCACAGACACATAAGAAGTAAAAGGAAAAAACAGCGACGTCGTTGCTGCTCAGCGCTTGGAATGATTGGAAAGTGTGGGCAGCGACGCTCGCTACGTAACAGCAACAGCGACAGCGCAGTTGTATGCGAATGCGCGTCGAAAAGAGAATTCGATGTAGATGGCGGCAATAGCGGCTGGCATAGGGTCGCCGAGCTGTTTAGCTGACCATTGAAAAGAAATTCGTGCTCAAATTATTTACATAATTTGCATTTAAATAAGACACTGGAAAGAGCAACAGTTGGCTGCCACAGTCAGGGCTGCCACCTGGCCCAACTGGCAATCCTATCGGCAATGTATTTGGGTTTTGCGTATGGCTGGCAACTCTGTCAGCTGCCGGCCGCTGTGTAGAAGAGTTCGCATTTTTTGCTTATTGCGAAAACATACACACACACATGTTAGAGATAAACGTAATTAAAAGCAGCGTAGCCACCCAGCGCCTCGTGAAGCAACAATAGTGTAGCAGCTTGTGTCGTTAGTGTCAGTTATAAAGTTTCGACTGTTTATTGTCGCCGCTTAATCGCTCAAGTGCAAATAAACGATTAGATTTCCAGTGAAAACTATTGCACTGCAGGATGAACTCAATACTCATAACGGGCTGTAATCGCGGTTTGGGGCTGGGCCTCGTGAAGGCATTGAACAAACTGCCGGAGCCACCGCAGCATCTTTTCACCACATGCCGCAATCTGGAGCAAGCCACGGTAAGTAGTTTTGTCTAGTCATGTCTCAAAGGGGTGACTCATGCATCCCCCCACATCGAAACTACGCGAATAATTAACAAAACTGGCTACAGCAACAATATACATACATATGTATAACCCGTAACGCGAGGGAGACAGCAGAAATATTCTTGTCTTGTGGCATCACTTCTTATTCCGCTACTTACACTCACCTTTACCTTGCACGGGCGCCATGTTTTGCAGTTTGGGCAAGTGTTTTAAGCTAACGAACAGGATCAGCAATAGCTTCCAAATATTTGAGGAAATCGGTTATCAGTTATACTGAAGATGAACACACTCAGTACGGCACTTTAACGGTTAACAAAAAATAACAAACTTGTACTTGTCGAATAACAGTTAGCCAGCTACTGCTCTCCCGCGATACTCTCGCCAGCGAACGCAAATGCGAAATAAGCGGTAAACTTTTTGCTATTGCTTTTACGCTTTCGGTTCGATGCTTTGGTCGGTCTTTGCAGCTTATTTTCCAGTTGTGGAAAGCACGAGCTATCGATGTATCGCCGAACGTGAGTATCGATACTTTTGAGTTCGCAATGCGACTATTACATTAAGTTGGCCGCGTTCCACGGCATGAACATGCCGCGAGTTTTGAACAATACTTTATTAACATTCACATTGGTCTCATTTTACTTTTAGGATCTAAGAAATCTGGCCAAAGAATATTCTAATATTCATATTTTGGAGATTGGTAAGTGGATGCAGTCGTGCGTTTAGCCCAAACTAACATTTCTGCTCTCAACAGACTTGAAGAATTTCGATGAATACGACAAGATTGTTAACCAAATTGCTGAGGTGACCAAAGATAGTGGCCTTAACGTGCTCTTCAACAACGCTGGCATTGCACCCAAGTCTGTGCGTCTCGGCGCCACCAGGCAGCAGGATCTGATTGATACGTTGCACACTAATACCGTGGTGCCCGTAATGCTGACCAAGGCCTGTTTGCCGCTGCTTAAGAAGGCGTCCGATGCCAACGAGGCGGAAAGCATGAGCGTTAAGCGTGCGGCAATAATCAATATGAGCTCAATACTCGGCTCCATCAAGTCCAACACGGATGGCGGCCTGTTGCCTTACCGCGCCTCCAAGGCTGCCCTCAATGCGGTCACCAAATCGATGAGCATTGACCTGGCACCCCAAAAGATTCTGTGCGTCAGCTTGCATCCCGGCTGGGTGCGCACCGACATGGGTGGCAGCAATGCTCCACTGGATGTGACCACGAGCACCACAAAGATTGTGGAGACCATTTGCCAGTTCAACGAGTCGCACAACGGTGGCTTCTATCAGTACGATGGAGCAGAGCTGCCCTGGTAGAGCCAAGCGCCATAGTTAGCGTCTACACAGATCATATATCATATGTATATATATATTTTGTTGCTATCTATGTAAATTATTGTTGGTGCTAAAACAAATGCGTGGAAATCATAAGCTTGTTTTACATCCACAGCTGACGTGGCATTCGGGGCAGCCGTGCCAGCCCTGCCGACGAAATCTCAGTTAGAAGAGCTCCAGCGCAGGTCAGAGCATCGGCGGCTGCGATGATTGGGGCTGGCCATCGCCTGGTCCGTTCATGGGGTATGCAACGCGTTTGCGCAGGTCGAGCCGAGGTCGTCGATTGCCGCTGTCTCCACTCACTGGCGGCGGATCGTTCCAGCCGGGTGTGAGTGAACCTAAGGTTAGACGACCGAAATATGTTAACCAAAGACTTGATTTAGACTTGCCGTCGTTCAATTTACCTGGAAATGCACCACTGGGGGCTATAGTCTGCCCCATGGGCGGTGGTGGCTGCTGCTGTGCTGGCGGTGGTGGTGGCGGTTGCGGTGTCATGTCTATATTCACTTTGAATTTTAAATATACAAATATACACGGTTTTCCGCTATTGTTTCGCAGCCAAAACTTGGTGTATTTGCGCTTATTGTTGTTTTTCTCCTTTCGCCAAGTGTCAACAAATTTGTGTGCGCAGCAACTTTCACGCGTGAGCAATGCTGCGCGCAGCCAACTTCAAGTGAGAGCGCGAATTGCGCACAGCCAACTTAACACATTTTGATTTTGAAACGTTAATTTGATTAGGGAATGTTACAAACTGCCATCCTCAGACAGGTTGGATAGCCAACAGAAGGGATTTGTAGATTTCATTTGTTTGGCTAACTGTTGGGGCATAATTTTAATTACACTGTTATATAAGGGTCTCTAGGTGTAGTTTTATTTAACTCGGCAATACCACTGACCAAAGACCAAAGTGGCAATACATAGGCTGTTAATGGCAAAACTTGCGTTCTTTACAGTGTGTCTTACCTATGAAAAACATTTTAAAGGTATTCTTATATAGGTAAACCCTTTTTTCCTATTTGATTGCAGTAGCTTCAGGCAATGCAGCATTTGATAAAAAAAAAAAAAAACATTTTAACGCATTTTTAATATTGCCTTATGCGAGTGGTCGTAACGAAAGACAGAGGTATTAAGCTGAAATTTTTACATTACATTTCTTAGCCCATTGACGATATCAGTAGCTGCATCACATTAGCCTTGCAGAATGTATATACATACAGTAGTTAACCATTAACTACTTTCATTCAGCTGCATAACAAATAAAAAAAAAAAAACAGATTTTTTCATTGTTCGTTACTTTCGGTAAATAGCATTGAAATTGTAGGCCCAGGCAGTTGGATGTGAGCGCAGCCAACTTCAAGCATGAGTGTTTATTAAGCGCAGCCAACATAATGCATTTTGAATTTTAGCACGTTAATTTGATTAGGAAACCGTTACAGAAAAAACAGCACAGAAGCCATAAAGCAAAACAGACAAGGAGAGGCATATAGGGAGAGAGATGTGCCAGGAACGATGTGAAGCACCTCTTAGTATTACCTGTACATATAGAAAATGCAAAATAGGCTTTTATTCTTTGTGGTAAATGGAGGTTGTTTATAAAATTGAATAGTGTGAAATAATGTAGACCTAGTTTAGTATTGTCTTTCCGTACTTAATACATGATTTGTGTAGAATTCGTTGCTTCTCTGGCATCTTACAATAGCCGCTGTCACACGCACAAGAGTCTTGAGTCTAATCTTGTGCAGTGGCCAGCAGCTGCAATAAGCACCGTTCCCAAAGGATCTGGATTCTATATACTTGTATGATATATGCATGTACATATATCCTCTGTATATGTGGTAGATCTAACACTCGCACTGTAGCACTCGAAAATTTGGACTGTTTTGCTGTGGCTGGACGAATTTACTGCTTGGCTTGGCATAGTTTACGCCATTTCGTGAATTGTTGAATTAATGATAAGCCAATAGGGACGACATATGTTCCGGTTCCCAATTCTAAGTATGCGGCACTCGTTTTAAATATTTAAATCGCCTGCGGCGATACGATTGTTGTTGTTGTTGTCGTCGTTTTTTGTTATTGTTGTTGTTCCAATTTTTGATGATATTTTGTTGTATTCTTATTGATTTTCAATTGAATGCTTCAGTTTTTCTTGCTGTTGGGCTCCAATTTTCAAATGGAGCTCGATGAGCGCACAAAAAAAAAAGTTGTTTAAAAAATAAATGAATATATACATGGATAAATGGATGCATTTATATATATATATTGTATTTGTTTGGTGCTGTTGTCGTTGCTGTTTATGTTTATCCTTCTTTGTTGCTTTCACTGGCAGAAAAAAAATTAGTTGTTGCCGCTGCAGTTGCCGCTTAATTAACAATGTTTAACTGAGACATTGTTCTGGCCGCTTTGCTGCTTTTATAGTTGCATTCCTCGCCGCCGCTGCCGACGCTGGCGCTGGCGTTGGCAGCGCCGTTCGCATCCCTCGCGTAGCAGCAGTCGTCGCATTGCTCGCCTTACCTGCTACCATACACACACACACACACACACACACACTCAGACGCTTGCTCACACGCACACGCACGCACACTGGTCAACGGCGAAGTCTTACATGTGTGTGTTTGTGAGCTTGTAATATTATTAGACGTTCTTAGTGTGCGGGCAGCTGAGTGTGTTTGCGAAAGCTGAAGAAGAAGAAAACGAAGAAGAAGAAGAAGCAGCCGAGGCAGTGAAGGAGGGAAAAGAGCCGTTGCCTGCTTTTAGGTGCGCGGCGATTGCAGCAAATCAAAAAGAAATACAACAACAAGCGCGCAGCCAAATGAGAGTGAAGCGGCAGCAGCAGCAGCGGCAGCGGCAGCACACATATATTGAGGCAGGCTTGAAAAGCAGGCAATGGAAATATGATGCCGTTTACGTATGCGCCATGGCTAACTTCAATGTGGCTGCCCCATGAGAATTGCTGCAGCCTGAGGCCGAGAAACCTCGCGCTGCCACGTTCCGGAAAAAAAGCAAAATAAACGAACGCAGCTGGAATGAAAGGCACATGTGACACCTTTAACTGACCCCCTGTCCCTGCCCCAGCCCCTGCCTCTGTCCCTGCCCCTGCCCCTGCCTCAGCCCAACTGGCCCCAACCCCCAAAGCGGCCCCGCACTTGTATGGCATCGCCGTTTGGAATGCTTCGCTGCGCTGCGCCCGTACAACGGGACCTGGGGAATCTCAACAAGGTAACCAGCGGGCAGCAGCAGCTTAAAAAGACAACAATAGCAACAACAACAGCAGCAGCGGGGGTGAGGATGGCGATGGGGTGGGGGTGGGGGTGGATGTGTGCTAGGGGCTGTGCCGCTTAGCGAAAATGGCGCGTATCAAGTGACAGATTGTCTGCGGCAAAGAGGCCAACAGCTAGCCTAGTAGGCTTGCCGATATTTTGGCGGGATGGGGTAGGGTGTTATCCCCATTGCTGCTGTTGTTGTTCTTGTTGTTGTTCTTGTATTCGTTTGGCTTTCTTTGCTTTTGTGTTCCACGAGCTTCAGCTGCTGCTGATTCCACTAGCACGCGTTGTTGTTGCTCTTCATGTGAAACCATAATTTTCAAAGCAGTCGGCACACACACACACACACAAATAGACACACACCAACATACATACACACATGTATATATTGGTCACACTTCTTGACACCTTTCCTTTGCCTACCTCTTAGGCTGCTGTCTTGCTTCACACACACACACACACACTTGTGTTGTGGACACTCCTCAATTGGTAGGCATGCAAAATTATGGAAATCCTTGTCATACTACGCAAATCTCTCAAGGAGTATTGAGTGCCTGAATCTTGCATAATTATCAGCTAATTAGCTGGCCTTAACTTGTTTTAAAATGTTTATTAACGCTATACGGTGTACTCCAATAACCCCTTGTGAGCCTATTATTATTAGCTGGCCTTAACCGTTGGCTGTCTTACACAATAATATGCTATAATCAAGTCAAGAGATATGAATCAATCCTCTATATATTAGTATATATCTATACATATACAGTTCCACCTGTCTCTCCCTATCTCCATCGATATCTCTCAACATCTCTCTCTCTCTCTCTCTCTCTCTCTCTCTCTCTGTCTTTTACTTTCTTACTATTTGTCTCCATGTATTTTTCTGTTTGTCTCTCACTTCGTCTGGCTCCGTCTTTATTTCTATCTCTTTTTCTTTATATCCCCCCCTGCCTCTGTCTACTTTTCTCTGTCTCTCTCCCTCTCTTCCTATATTTCTCTATTCTATCTATCTTACTCTCTCTCTCTCTATCTCTCTCTTTCTCTCTCTCTTTCTCTCTCTCTGCTTGTCGGCGTATTTATCCTACAATTTGTATGAAATATTCAAAATTGATATTCATATTTATTATATATGCATTAAGCTATGTCAAGCATATTGAGCTGACTTTCATATAGCTCTATACCTTATATATGAACAGCTCGAGTAAAAAGAATTAAATTTATTATTCAGTTTTCATCTATATATGTCTATATATCATACATTTATATATGTATATGCCAATATAAAAGTCTTTACCTTCAATATCCTACCAAGCAATATCGAAACAAGCATAAAAATCAATATTTTTCCCCATGCCCAGCCGTTAGCTACTAGCTCTAAACTGTTAATAGTTAGTTGGGTGATTGGAGAGCCGAGTATTATAATTATTCTGCACACATCCAATAATAGCAAAGTTAAACGAATATCGAGCTAGACTAAATGCATTTCCATTATGCTCACTCACAATGCGAACGGAGTATATTGGCTTTGGGCAATTAGCGTCTCTATGCTATATTTTCCACAGTTTTCTAAGTGGAGATTTACAGTA